GCCTTAAAGGGCAAAAAGGAGCTAAATGAAGGTGGGAAAGGGTGAGGTGAGAGAGGTGCTGGGAACAGGGGTATGGGAATGCAGACAAGTCAGCCCGGGGCCTTTCCCCTGAAACGAAAGGAAGACTTCAGGTCAGGAGGCAGTCACTGATGGGAAAGGTGGACTGGCCATGGCGGAGGGAGGCTGCAGCAGGGCGTGTGGATTCTCCAGCGTTGAGAGGCCCTAGGCACTGAGGGAGGCTGAGAATGAGGCTGAAACAGAGGCACAGTGTTGAAATCCGCTAAGTCAGAAGTAAGCCAGGAGGGGAATGAAGGCCAGCTTGGGTCCTTCCCCAAACTGGGCTCTAAGGAGTAACTCACTAATGGTAAAAGGAGCTGGCATGGTGGAAGGATGTTCCACCCAAGCAGGCTGCAGGTAGACATGTTTTCTAGGGTGAGGAGGCCCCAAATACCACCAAGCCCCCCACCCCCCCAAAAAAGAGAAAGTCTTCCCCACAGCCAGGCCTGGAATTCTCCGATTTCTTTTCATTTGACTGCCACCCACCGTTTTCCCAAAGAGACAAGCCACTTCATTATATTCCCTGGTTCACTGTGCAAAGGAATAAGCTGATACGGCTCTTCAGTATTTGCATTCTCCCAATGGGACAGCACAGGAACAGCCTCACTTTCACAGATATCGCCAAAAGCAGCAATAAGAAAGGGGGGGCTTTTATTTAGGGGTTGATTCCCAGTAGTCAAACACATTTGTTTCACTGCTGCAAAGTTCACTCATAACTAAAGCTGGAAGTTGTAAAAACAAAAACAAAAAAGGGGGGGCGTGCTCTGAAGTTTTTCTTATTATATTCACTACTAAATGAACCCTCAATGTTGGGGTCCAGCTGAAATACTTCCCATATCCTGACAAACAAAACTAGCCCATTATAGTTCTGAAGCCTACCTCATTCACACTGCCATCACTCAAGTTTTGAGCAGAATCCCTCCACTTTGGGCAACACTGCTGGATTCATGTGGCACAGACAGAGGTCAGGGAGTATGGGGGTGAGCCATACCTGCTCTTCCCCTCCCACAACCTACCACCAGCCTAGCAGCAAGGGCAGCACCCACTGTGTGCCACATACTAGGAAGACAAGCACAAAAAGGAGAAGCCCTGCTCTCAAGGAGCTTACCACCAAGTATGACCTCCAGGAAAGCAGAGGCTCTCTCTCCATTTCTGTCCCCAGCACTTAGCACACTTCCACTGGGGGAGACAACGTGTGTGTGTGTGTGTGTGTGTGTGTGTGTGTGTGTGGACACGTATCATACAAAGTAATTTGGCAAGTGAGAGACTGTCTCGACTGAAATTAAAGTAAACTGAGAGATAAGGTTCAGTAACCAATAAATTGGGTCAATGGCCTCTCTGGAGGACCAGAGACATTGAGTGAGAGCTAACAGGCTCTTTTATAACAATCAGCAAGATGTCAAGCACAATCTCAAGCAACACAGGTGTCTTCTTCTGCTTGACTATCAATGACACACAGCCAGAATTGAGATGGCATCATTTGAACCTCCCCTTCTGAAATCCCCTTAAACCATCTGGCAATTTGAGTCACAAGACAAAGGTTCCCAGGCAATGGGAACGCCAATAGGTTAGGGCAGCGAGGTGGCCCCACAATGGATAGAGTACCTGGCCTAGAGTTAGGAAGACTCATCTTCCTGAGTTCAAATTTGGTCTCAGACAGCAACTAGCTGTGTGACCCTGGGCAAGTCACTTCCCCCATTTGCCACAGTTTCCTCATCAGTCAAATGAGTTGGAGAAGGAAATAGCAAACCATTCCAGTATCTTTGCCAAGAAAACCCCAAATGGGGTTTTGAAGAGTCTGAGCCGAAGACCCGAACAACAAAATAATTTAAATTGATGAGATCTGACCTTTCAGGTTAATCAAGTTTCTCTGGAAAGTAGGTGCTGAGTGGGGTTACAAAGGTAGAGACAATTACAAGACAAAAGCCTGCAATTAAGACAAGGGAAAGCATCACTGCCTTAAATATCTCCAATAAGCCTTCACTACCTATGGGGAAATAACACTAATATGTAAGAACAAGGTCCATCACCTAAAAGGAGGTGGAAGGGAAGAGAATAAGCATTTATTAAGCACCTACGATGTACCAGGCACTGTGCTAAACATTTAACAAAGGGTATGAACACCTCTCTAAAAACCTTTAAAAAAAAAATGAACAAATGTATGAAAGAATGCTCCAACCCACTAATAAAAGAAAAGCAAATTTTAAAAACATCTCAAGTTCCACCTTCCACCCAGCAAATTGGCAAAGATAACAAAAGATGGAAATAGTCGATGTTAGAGAGATGTGCAAAGACCAGCACACAAACATACTGTTCAGGAACAGTGAATTAATGGGTCCAATCATTCTGGAAAATAAGTTAGATTACACTTTTTTAAAAAAGCAACTGCCTACTCCCTTTGACCCAGACTTTCCTAGGCTTTTACCCCAAGGAGATCAAAGGCAGAAAGCTCCCACCCTATAGACAGGTACCCCAAACAGCTCATCTTGTGACAGTCAAGAAAATCAATGTGCTCTTGGGGAATGGCTCACCAAAGTGTCATCTAGGAGCATAAGGGAACATTACTGGGCCCTAAGAAAAAACGAATATGAAGAATCAGCAAAGCACGAGAACATTTTATGTGAACACTGACTACCCTGCAAAAACAAAGAAGGAAAAGAGGCAACAGGACGCTGTGACTATGACGCCTGACGTGGATGCTCCACGTAACGTCAGACTCAATTTCTGTGAGCTTTGCTGAACTGCTTTTTTCCCCTTTCCCTTTTTTATTCTTTGTTAACAAAGAAGAGTTGCTGGATACATTTAGAAATGAACGAATATAAAATTCTCCACCTCTAAGACCTTCCACTAGAGTCCTTCAACCAGGCTGAAGCAGCCAGACACTCGGAGGCAAGGAGACGGGAGGCAGCATGTGCCGGGATAACTGAACCACCCCACATCCCCCCACTAGGACCATCATTGCCTTTCAGACCCTGATGAAGAAAGCCCAGGGCCCTGAGAATAGAAGTATCCCCTAACCCATCCACTTCCAGTCCAGCCCCTTTGCCATCAATGAGACGAGAAATCACTGTGGTAGAGCAGGCGGCCACCTCCCTCATCACCGCCAGTCACAACTGCTGGCCAACTGCCACCACCAGGCAAATGAGGAGCCCCAAAGCCCTCAGACACCACTGGTCCTGCTTCCAGCCCAGTCCTCCCAGCTATCACAGTCAGGATGTGGGAGAAGGCTCTGGCAGACAAGGGGCCAGGCATCCCCACCAACTGCCATGCACTGGGCAGGCACCCGGAGGAAAAGCCAGGAGGAAGCAGGTGCCAAGCAAGGCAAACCGGCACTTTAAATACAAACTCCCCTCAGATCCTGATGAGACAGCCCGGGACCTGCCCCCCAGCCATCACCCTGGAAAGCAGCTGCCCCTGGGGGTATGTACACTGGCACTGCTCCTGCAAGGACTGCAGCTCCTGAAGTCCCAGAGAAGAAGGTTCTTGTCACCAGACCTTAGTTCTGTCCAACGGTTCAACATCAGAAACAGCTAAGATCAGTGGGAATGACATGAAAGAAGAGGCCACACCATCAGCGTGGCCACTGTCCCAAGGACCCCGGGTCCTGCTGAAACCTTCTGTATGGATGGTTCGACCAACAGAATGTGAGCTCCTTGAGAGCTAGAACGGTCTGACTTTTTGATCTGCATACCCAGAGCCTTGTTTTTCAGTCGTGTTGAATTCTTTATGACCCCATCTGGGGTTTTCTTGGCAAAGATACTGGAGTGGTTTGCCATTTCCTTCTCCAGTGCATCCGACAGATGAGGAAACTGAGGCAAATGAGGTGAAGTGACTTGCCCAGGATCACCCAGCTATTAAGTGTCTGAGGCCTTAGTAAATGCTTAATAAATGCACATTCACTAATTCGTATCTCCCTCGGCATAGAGGTGGCCCTCCATGTCCAGATGTTAGGGAGTACAAGCTCTCTGTAGGTCCTTTCAGGTTGGAAAGCCCTGTGGGACTGCACTGAATCTGGAAAGGCGCCCAGTAGGTCAGATTCCAGATGACTCATTTTTTTTGGCTAATTCTCAAAAGTCCATTTACCAGGTTATGGAAGAGTTGCAGACTGTGTCTGCAAAAGATGTAATGACACCAATCCGAGTACAGAGAGCAAAAGTATTGAAGAGAAAGTGCACAGAAGGGCCATCCCAATCAATAACTCAGGCTTAGAAACAATGACCATGACTACCTCATACCTATTAGATTGTCTAATAAAACAGAAAAGGTAAATGACAAATGTAGGAGGGGATGTGGGAAAAATGAGACATTACTGCACTGCTGGAGGAGTTGTGAACTGATTCAACCATTCTGTGGAGCAATTTGGAATTATGCCCAAACGGCTATGAAACCATGCATACCCTTTGACCTAGCAATAACACTTCAAGGTCTATATCCCAAAAGAGATAAAAAGCAAAAAGGAAAAGGATCTATATGTACAAAAATATTTATAGCAGCTTTTTCTGTGATTAAAGAATTAGAAATCGAGGGGATGTCTATCAACTGGGGAATGGCTGAAATACTACTGTACTATAAGAAATGATGAGCAGGATGCTCTCAGAAAAAAAAAAAGAAAGGTGGGGAGGGAAGAAACAATGACCATGACTTTTCTTGTTAAGTATTTAAATGATACATGTACAAGGTGTCCCAAAAATCTTGGTGCAGCCTGAAGCTTTCATAGATCACTAGTATTAATAGCTTTGTGAATTCCTTTGGGAATTTCTCAATTTTGAGAATTTCCATAGCAAAAAAAAAAATTGTCTAGAAGCTAATAACTTACTATTAGCTATTAAAGGTTAAAACTGCATTGAGACTTTGGGGACATCCTGCACACAAACCACTTCATAAACTTTAAAGAATGACATACACGGCGGCTCCCACAGAAAGAATTAGTAAAAAGGCCTTACCTGTACAGCACTGTTTAGAAAGCAGCTGTTTTGTCCTGGTTCATTTAACAAGCCCTTGGTAGGGGCTAGCGATAACATACTTCCAGGCTGATAAACTTTTCCCAGGTTGCCCCCAGGTTTCCGTAAGAACTTGACCCAGGCCATGTTTTGGTCAACTGGTACGTGCGCAAGGTGAGCGACCTATTTCTTGACACTATCTCCAAAGATGAAATCGGCAAGGCCTTCAGCAGTCCACCGGTATTCCCAAGAGTCTAATCTGCCAGCTAGCCCAACATCCTTTTCCTTTGGAGTTTCCAAGTTAATGTCCTTCTTGATGCTGTAACTTTCACATCAAGGCAGTTTACCAATCTTCTTACAACGCCCATGAAATGCAGAGGTTCCAATAAATTAAAAAACAAAAACCAGGGCCTTAATCAGATGACAAGGCCTCACCACAAAAGCCAAGTGGATCCAGCTGGAGAGTAAAAAGGCATGTCTCGGAACAGGTCTTGGTAAAACACAACAACCTGCCTATCTTAATCAGGTCAAAAATGCATGCTATGACAACCCCTCGAATCCTGGCTCAACGTCACGCCTCTGGGCATCGATTTTGCTCATGTTTTCCTTTCGGGAAAGAAGAGTCTGTCTTTCACACATGAAATCATCCTCATCGAGGCCATGTTTTACATCGTTGGCAGTCAATCTGCAAGACAAGAAGCATAAAAACATTTACATACAAGTAAACATTAACCACTAGAAAATTCTATTTTACAGAGCAAAGCCTAACTGCAGAACTGAAAGAAGGAACCCCCCCTCCAAAAAAGCTAAAAGTGATATTTAGATGTTTCTGTAAAAATGAAAGTATACCCCATTTAAAACAGAAAAGTATTTCAGTGACAATCTTATTCTCTGTCTACTTCAAGCGTTCAGGGTTCAAATCATAGTTTCATTGGAAAAGACAATGTACATAAGAAGGTCATTTGTTAAGATTCCAGGTACTAGGGTCTCTGTCTATAGGTCTATAGCAATATTCCTATTCCACATAAATGCAAACACAGAATAATATTTCACATAATCTATTTTATGCTGTCCTTGCACACTGGCGCATAAATTGAGTTTTTCAGGAAGTCATCAAGACTGGACCTATTATTCATCGGTTTGGTAAAGAAACACCCTTTACCAAGGCCACTTGGCATTTTGTCTGCAATTTAGTCTTAGGTAGTTACCTAGAATCAGGCAGCTAGATGGCTCAGTGGATAGAGCACTAGGCCTGCAGTCAGGAAGACCTGAGATCACACTGGCCTCAGACCCTTAGTGGCTGTGTGACCCCGCGCAAGTCACTTAACCTCTGTTTGCCTCAGTTTCCTCACATGTAAAATAAGCTAAGAAGGAAATGGCAAACCACTCCAGTATCTTTGCCAAGAAAACCCTAAGGACAGTACTGGTATGCTATGGGCCACCGGGTCCTGGAGAGTTGGAAACGACTGACCAACGGTTACCTGGAGTACTAAAATCTCAAGCGATTTACCATGGGTGACCTGGCAAGCATGAAGCAGACGTGAAACTGAGCTAGACCATGTTCCAGGCCAGGGCACTACTCACTGCACTAAGCATATAAATCAAAACAATCCCAACGGCACTCAGGAAATGGGCAAAGACGACAAACAATAGAAAGGTCAACGGTAGAGGGACTGTGGGAATATGGGCACACGAAGGCATGGTTGGTGGAGCTGTGAGTTGGTCTAATCACAGTGGAAAGTAATCTGGAATTATGCCAAGAGGGTGACTAAAGTCTCCATACCCTAACCCAAAGTATTTTTAGCAGCACTTTCCTACGGTAGCAGAGAACCAAAAACGAGGTAGATGGCCCTCCACTGAGGAGCGGCTAAACAAGTTATGGCCCCCAGATACAATGAGCCGGTACTGTGCTGCAAGAGGCAATAAACAATTCATCACAGAGAACCACCAAAAGAAAGCTTGATAGGAAATGAGGCAAAATGAGGTAAGCATAACCGGAAAAGCAACGTAAAGAAGATAACCAGGGAATCAAAACTAAATGCTGAGAAATGCTAATGGCCATCCTTGGCCCAAGGAAGAGATATGAGAAGGGACTTTCACTGATTCTCCGCAAAGGCAGAGGACCAGGTGTGTGACGCACCAGCAGACTTTGGGGATGTTGGTTTATCCTGCTCAACTTTTTCTCTCTTTTTAAAAATTCTTTCTTATAAGAGATAGTAGGGGTGGGGTGGGGGGGAGGAATGGAGAAGAAATACAGTGGGAAATACGTAACATCAAATAGACGTCAATAAAAAATTATGGCTTAAAAAATGTCATGCATTCAATTCCAGCGTTCCTTCTTTCCAATCCACGTAATTTGGATCTACTGCCCAATCCAACCCTGGTGGCTGTCCCCACTAGCCCCTTCCTCATTTCTTTTCCTTACTCAAGGAGTGCTTCAGTCCTAGTCTTCTCTACCAATGTGGACCTTTATATTTGGGGACCTGAAGTGCCCTCAAACAACAGTTTCCCAGTGGGCACCAACTTCAGCTCCCATGATCCCTTGTTCTACCCCACTCTCCCAGAGTGATGTTCACATTTCTTATTCATCCTTCCACAGTAGTATTCCACCTGCACCCAATTCTGAAACTGCTCTGCCCACCACAGCCTCCCATCCTTCCATCTCTCCTTACACCTCGACCCCCCAAATCTAGTCTGTCTTCATCACAACCTTCCAATCAACACCAGCCCCTTTCCTGCTTTCCAAGGCTATGTACCAGCCTGGCTTGGGGCCGCACTTTCCTGCCTTCAAAACCTCGACTCTACAGTTAACCAGTTCAGTTTCACACACTGTCGACCATCCTGAAATCCTTTGCCTCCTTGGATTACCACTCGTCACTTGTTTCTTTCCAGGTCAAGCCTGGATCACCCAACCATCCTCCTACTTCCCTCCTATCACTCTACTAAATGCTTCGGGAGGAAATCATGCAGCCACACTAGCTATAAACATACGGGTCCATCGCACATTTCTACTGCGTGATCTCAATTCACACCTACTTGGCACATGCCAACCCTTTTACTCTTTCCTTACTGACAATCTTGCCCCCTCAGTCATTTGACAGGAGCTCCCTCTTCCCTATTCTAGTCTCAAAACCTCATTGTATCCTCTCCCACTCAATCCCCCTTTCCCCATCCTGACAAAGTGCCCTTTGTCCTCCCCCCACATGCCCTTGATCTCATGCAGCAGAGGGCACCCTTAATCATTCACTGCCCCACAGAATCTCCAACCTTTCCATATCTCCTGGTGCCTTCTCATCTGCCCTCAAACACGCCCAAGTTCTCCCCATCGACTGAAAACGGCTTCACTGAATTTTGGCACTCCCTCAAACTGTAGGCCCATCTTTCTCCTCCCTTTCTCAGTCAAGCTCCTGAAAACGTTGTCTACACTTGCTGCCTCTAGTCCTGTCTTCTGGCTCTCTCTTCAACCCTTTATAGCCAACTTTTTGGCCTCATCACTGAACTGAATTGCTTTCACCAAAAATTACCAAGTCCTAATCTAACCCTTCTAGACACAAAGACTCAGTTTCTCCACTGAGCTCAGTCCCAAATGACTAATCACCGCTTCCAATAGGATGCTGGATGTCCAGAAGACATCTCCAAACACAATTCATTATACAAGCTTCCCTCCAAAACTGTCCTCTTCCAAACTTTCTATTTCTTGTGAAGGTACCACCATCTTTCCCTTCTCCTAGATTAAATCTTTGGCATTATCCCTGACGTCTGCTCACCCCAATTTCCTATCATCTGCTGAATTCTGCTGTTTCTCTATCTCTTGAATTCAATCTCTTTTTTCTACCCAACAGCTTGGTAGAGCCTCTGTTCAGGCCTTCATCTCTTCTCCTCCAAATGATTTCAAGAGCCTCCTCCTAACTGGTCTGCCCACTATATCTCAAGCACTCCAGGGCCACACTTCTGTCCAAGGAATGTTCCTTAGGCACAGATCTAATTATGTTACACTCCCCTACTCAGTAAATTCCACTGACTTCCTATTACCTCCAAGATAAAGCATAACCTCTTCCTTTTAGCTTTTAAAGCCCTTCGCCATGGACCCAACCTCATTCCTGCACTCTGATCCCTTCTCTGTTCCTCCCACATACCACACCATCTCTGGTCTTCATGCCTTTGCACAGGCTGGCCGTCCCCCATGCCCCTTTCTTCTTTCAAGATGAAACTCAAACACCCTCTTCCATAGAAAACCTTTCTCGATTCCTCAGCTGCTACTGTCCTACCTCCCCCAAATTACCTAGTGTTCAACTACTTTGTATTTGTATTTATCTATTTTTAATTTATGCCATTTATCCTTCTAGATGAACTTGTTATCTCCCTCACTGAGCTGCAAACTGCTCTGAGTAGGAATTATTTCATTCTCTGTACTTGTTGCACTCCCGGTGCCTAGCAGAGGAGGCCCTTCACTAATGCTTGCTGACTGCTTGTCTCTACTGAATGTCCCCTGGGTATCTCAAATGCAGCATGTCCAAAAGACAACTCATTGTTTTCCCCCAGACCTTCCCTCTTCCAAACGTCTCCATTTCTGCCGAGAGCACCATGATCCTTCCAAGTCACTCAGATTCACAATGTCACAAGTCTTACTGGCCTCTTCCTCATCTCCCCCCCGTCCCTGACCTACAGCACATAGAGCGAGGGCCTGATGGTGTTGAGGCTATCTCTACAACGTCATCGGCCTTCTCTTCCTCTCTCACGTATAGCCACGGTCCTCCTAATTCAGGCACTCATGCCCTCTAGCCTGGACCCCTGCAATAGTTTTAGAATTGTCCTGCCTCAGTCCTCTGATTCATCCCACACAGCTGCAGAAGAGATAGTCCTAAAGCCCTGCATCTGACCACGTCACGCCCTGCTTGACAAGATCCAGGACCTCCACTTGCCACCTCCTGTTTGGCTTCCAAAGCCTTTTTCAATCTGACTCCAGCTTACCTTCAAGGTCTACCGTGAGCTGCCATCCGACAGTACTCGATGGTCCAGCCAAACTGGTCAGCTCCCTGTTGCTGACGTCAGCACTATCTCCCATCTCTGTTCGTCTGACCTGACTGGCCCCCGTATCTGGAAGGTACTCCTTTCACCACTTCCATCTTTAGAAACTGTAGCTTCCCTCAAAGTTCCGGAAAGATAAATGGATACATGACTTAGATACAAAAAGTCAAATCGTATACAAAAGAAAAAGGTGGAAACACTTTTCACAACTATGGATGAGGAAGAGTTACAACCAAAAAAAGGTACAGATAGGAAGATCAAATTAGGTTACATAAAACTGAAAAGCTTCTGCACAAACAAAACCAACACAATTAAAATTAAGAGAGAAACGTTTAGCTGGAGGAAAAAAAAACCACTTTGCACTAAGGTATATAAGAAAATGATTAAATTTATAAGAAGAGCCATACTCGACAATAAATGGTCAATGGATATGAACAGTCTTCAAAAACAGAAATACAAGTTATCAACAACCACATGGAATATTTGCACCAAATCATTTGCAATTGAAGAAATGTAAATTAAAGTAACTCTGAGGTTCCACCTCACACCAGTCTGATTGGCAGAGAATATACAAAAATATGAAAATAAGAGTTATTGAAAGGACCACTAAAAACCAGGCAAGCATCACCAGCACAATGCTGATGACACCGTGAACTGGTCCAGAGTCCGGGGATGTGGCCTCAAGGCTGCAGGTTGCCCACCCCTGATCCAGACACTCTGGAAAGAAATTTGAACTATTCCTCAAGTCACTAAACTGTGCACATCTTGGACCCAGCCTTTCCACTTGTGGGCATATTCCCCTGCAGAGATGAAAAGACAGAAGGAAAAGACCTATATGTAAAATAATAATAATTATTATCATCATCATAATCACTATAGTAGAGCTTTGTAGTGGACTAAGTGAGAACAGGTCAATGTATTATGGCTGTATATATGAATGTAATGTAATGTTATTGTGCCATAAGAAATGACCAAAGAGATGGCTTTAGAGAAGCCTAGGAAGACTTGTATGAACTGATGCAGAGGGAAGTCAACAGGACTAGGGGAATGAGTTACACTGCAACAACACAGTAAAAATGAACAAGTGTGAAAGGCTTTAACTACTCTGAGCAAAGCAATGACCAGCCGTGATTCCAGAGGAGCCCCGACTAAGAATGCTGCTCCCCTCCTTTCAGAGGGGATGGATAGGCTCATGATGCAGACTAAGACAGACATTCCCAGATATGGTCAATGTGAGAATGTGTTTTGCTTAACTCTGCATACTTGTTACAAGGGTTTTGTTTTTCTTTTTCTCCAGCGGGGGAGGAAAACTCTAGTGACAGAGTTCATGCTATTGTGGGTCACTGAATACTTTTCAAAAATGCATTGAAGAGACCGGAAGAAAGGGCAGAAGGAATCAAAGACAAGCCAGATATCTTTGAACGCTACATACTGAATTATAGACTTAAAATAAAACTTTAAAAGCTGTACATAACAGAAATTTACAGTTTTGTGTACAATACTATATTTACTTTATACATAGGAATACCCATTTAATCTGATATTTATTGTTTTTTTAAACTTTATTTATTTTTAGTTTTCAACATTCACTTCCACAAGATTTTGAGTTACAAATTTTCTTCCCAACTCATTCCTCCCCCCACCCCAAGATGGAACGCATTCTGAATACCCCTTCCCCTAATCTGCCCTCCCTTCTATCTCTCCACCCCTTCTCTTATCCCTTTCCCCTTCTATTTTCCTGTAGGGCAGGATAGATTTCTGTACCCCATTTCCTGTATTTCTTATTTCCCAGTTGCATGTGAAAACGATTTTTTTTAACATGTGTTTTTAAAACTTTGGGTTCCAAATTTTCTCCCTTCCTCCCTCCTCACCCACCCTCATTGAAAAGGCAAACAACTCGATACAGGTTACACATGTGTAGTTATGCAAAACACTTCCATAGTAGTCATGTTGTGAAAAACTAACTATATTTTCCTTCATCCTATTCTGCCCCATTTATTCTATTCTCTCTTTTGACCGTGTCTCTCCTTAAAAGTGTTTGCTTCTGATTACCCCCTCCGCCAAACTGCCCTCTCCTCTATCATCCCCCTGTTCTCTTGTCCCCTTCCCCTCCTATTTTCCTGTAGGGTAAGATAGATTTCCATACCCAATTAAGTGAGTATGTTATTCCCTCCTTAAGCCAAATCCTATGAGAAAAATAATCTGATATTTATTAAGGTCATAATTTTTTTTTAATTAAGTTCAGGGACAGTTCCAACAGCTCCTCCAAGATGTAAATCCTCCTGCCTCACAGCTCAATGCCCCCTTGCCATTGTACAAGGTAGAAATGACTTTGCTTCTAATTCACATTTAATTTCCTGTCGGTGGACCATCTCCAGTCCTAGATGGCTCCAGAGGAAGAAGTGAGGCTGGTGACTTTGCTCAGCCCTCCCTCACTTAAATCCAATTCCCTTGCACATTATGGCATCACCTTCCTGATGTCATGGTCCTCTTCAAGAACGAAGGACAAAAACCAAAACTTTCCTGTTGACACATTTTTCCCCAAACTGTTTGGCTTATGTCTTGGGTTTCCAGTTCCTCTAACATTCCATTAAGTACCTAATAAAATAGGTACTTAATAAATGCTTCTGAATGAACTATGTAAAAGGAAAAATCTTCCGAGTTTATTCACTCAAGTCTCTTGACAACCAGATTAAAATTTTTAAAATTTCTTTTAAAAATTACCTAATAATATGATCATTTGATATTTATACACGAAACAAAAAGCCAAACATGGCAGAGGTGCCCTGGTATTTGGCGGTACCTGTGGACTCCTGAAAGATCTGTGTAAATCAAATTTTAGTTAAGTTCAGTAACATTTTAAGTGTGTTAGATGAGTTCATTACATTTTTTTAAGCAATCAAGGTTAAGTGACTTGCCCAGGGTCACACAGCTAGTAGGTGTGTGAGGCCAGATTTGAACTCAGGTCCTCCTGACTGGAGGGCCAGTCCTTTATCCACTGTGTGACCTAGCTACCCCTCACTACATTTTTAAACAAAGCCTAAAGAACATTATAGTGTCCTTTTGCAAATCACAAAATCCCTAACATGAGTATCAACCTGGTCATTTTTCTGTTTTCTAAGTTTCGATTATTTTGTCTAGGATTTTTTAAAGCACACAAGTAGTTACTTGTTTAGAATTTCTCCCTTGTCCTCCTCCCTCCACCCCCCCCCCCCCCCCCACTTCCACATTCAGGAGCAATTTAACCAATAATCTGTCACAAGTCTGATATTCCGGGACAAATCCCGACATCATCCAAGCTGGAGCGGATATCGACAAGGCATTCACGACACTTTTTTTTTCTTGAACCCTTTTCCTCCCAGTATCAACCTAAAAATAAAGCATTAACATTTTAAAAGATGAATTCCCCAGAAATTTTTATACACTTTCCTTTCTGTTTGCTGATTACTGGTGATAACAGCACTGCCCCAGCAGAAGTAAAACCAGGGGTAACTGAGGCCTCCATCATCTTTTCTGCTTACAAAAGGTGAAGGCACTGAATTAAAAGCCAACAGCTGCCTGCTGAAAACAATGCTTGGCTGAATTTATTCTTTAGTAAATCAGACTATTGGGTCATCTCTTTATCCTTTAAGGCTGAAAGGAGATTTCAAAACAGTAACACTTTTCATACTAATAAGACTAACTTCTCCTGATACTGGTAACGCAATGAGGTTTGTCTTCCTTAACATTACCTTCCTACAGCTAATTTGGTTCCATTATAAGAAAAATGTACTGCATGTATTGCTATGAAAGAACAGTGACTGGAGTAAAAGGCCCGAGGTTCCAAACCCCTCCGACACTAGCTCTGTGACCTTAGGTAAGTCACTTAACCTATCTCGGCCTCAATTTCCTAATCTGTCAAAAAGGAGGTGACTGTGCTATGGCCTCTGAGGTCCCTTCTCCTTCTCAACCAGTGATTCTATGGACAGGTAGTACTGGTTAAATCCTTCCAAAAAAAAAAAAATACCATTACAATGAACATCTCAGTATAACAAAGAGCTTCCAAACCTCACCCTTTCAGTATAAGCAATATCTGACACAATAAAACTCCAAGAGAAAAAAACACCAACCATAAACGCCACGTTACTGACTGCTGTAATGGAGCCTGACTATCGAAGCACAGAGACAGACCTCCATTCAAACGATCAGATATCCAGTGCCCAAAGAGCCCTCCAAAACTGTCTACTGGTCCAAGCCCTTCATTTTACAGATGAGGAAAGTGAGGCCCAGAGAACTAAAATAATTTGCCCAAGGTCATACAGGCAACATCAGAGGGGGATCTGAACCCGCGTCCTCTGACTAGGACCACTAGCCTTTCCACTGTACCTACCATTCTCACTGTATATGGGATGATAAATGAAAACTTTTTCAATCATGCTGTCACCAACAGGATGAAATTATTCAATAGTGTTATACAGGATAAAACTAAAACTATAAATAAAAACATTACGATGAAATTTCTCTTTCACATTAACAAACAATTTGGCACTTGGAGAAAATCTTAAGATTTCCCCAGGTTAACATTTGCTTGGCAATTTATTAGTGAAAACAGTAAAATTTCATATTAAGGTCAAACAAAGCAACTTTGGTTCCTTCTTAATCCTTTAGAAATTAAATTAAGATGATGTAGGATTAACGTTTTTGCTACATGTGTGAATATCTCTAACCAACAGAAACACCAGACAATAAAAAACCCACATGCTTAGACTGACCAAAGTGTAGGGGAAAGGCACCATCCTCCAGAAGGCAGCCTCACTCTCCAAGCTGAGGGCTTGTCTTCCATTCCCCTTGTCGCTGGCATCCCGGAGGTTTCCACTGTCCTCAGAGGAAGGCAGCAGACAAAACAGGCCCCAGTCAAGCCAAGGCTTCGACTTGCAACAATATATTTTTAGACAAGTCTTTAAGAATGTGTCCCCTCTCCAAGCTGGGATGGATGGCCAATATTTCTCTTTAGGGGAGGCATTTTTAGTAAGAACAGTATTACGACACTTCAGTTCACAAGTCTCTGAATTGACATGAACCCTGGGGCTGAGGCAACTTCCAGAGTCTTCAGCGTTACCCCAGTGGTGGGAGGGCAGAGATGGTTGGCACAGGGCAGGCTCCCACAGGCCTCCTACTCTCAAATGTGGGCCAGGACAAACCCAGCCTAGGTGAAAGCCAAATGCCGAGATCTGCATAGAGTGGTGAATGTGGTGAAGAGCCACCAAGCCTCCGCACCACCAGCATGAAACCTACATTATCGGGCCATCACTAGAGTAAAACCTTTATTGTGTAAAATCAGTTCATGTTCATATGTATCTGTTTCAAGGAATCTACTCCCCTTCTACCAGAAACCCTAATCTGGCTGGGATGTCAGTTCCTCAATGCAAAACAATAAAAGTCTTGTTAATAATTTACTCAAGAAAAACCACTGTGACTCTTTAAAGAAACAAAGAAGAAAGGTTAACTATTACAATCCAGATGATCACTACTCTCACTGGTGAAAATAAGCAGTTTCTTTTCTTGATATACAAACTTCCACAACTGTGGCCCATCTAAGAAAATGCCCATTTATAAAAACCTTAACTTCAGAAAAAGGCAGCTCAGGAAGAGCATCTTGATCAAAGGATTCACGACAGCAGTCATTAAAGCGCAAAATCACATACTTCAAATTCTAGGAAAACACCAATACCTGAATGTACTTCATCCCATTCCTGCCCAGCTTGTCTTCTCACTCGGTGCTCGAAGGACTGGAGAAAGAATTTAAGTTAAATTTTCTTTTATTTTCAGATTCTCTCCCTTCTACTTTCCCCATACTCCACTGGAGAAGCAGCTGTACCTTTTCCATTTTTTGAACTGTATTTAATTTCTGAAATTCTTGACAAGCAGAGTGAAGATTATAAATATTGCAAATGAATAAACAATATCAACCATTTAATAAGTGATTAAAAAGAGTACACATAACCCTATGCCAACTAAGAAACCTAGCAGTCAACACCCCCCCCCCAAAAAAATTAATCTGGGTGATCATTCTCTCTCTCTCTCTCTCTCTCTCTCACACACACACACACACACACACACACACAATTACTGTAGAGAACTAGCAAACAACCTAAGAACTCTCAAGAAGGCAGCAGGGGTGAAACACTGCAAAAACAGGAAAAACATCTTCAGTGCATGCATGCATGCTTGCAGCCAGCTCACATGACCTAAGTCTTTTCTTCTCCAAGTTAAAGAGCCTCAGTTCCTTCGACATAAGGAATGAATGAATTACAAACTCATACCAATGTCCTTCCAAAAACGTGGTGCCCCAACGGTCCTGATGTGCTCTGGCCAGAGCAGATACAACACGACTCTCACCTTGTTTTCTCTCCTCCCAACTCCCCCAGTTCTTTGGACCCTCCTGCCCTGAAATCTCAAAGTCATCTGAAGAGCAGTCGAATACTTCTCTCATTCTCTTTATCCCCAATGGAGCTTAAAAGAAATCCAGCTTTTTGGTGCCTTTCATCTTTCCTGGCCAAGCTCAGGTCAGTCAGAGATTCAGCTCCGATAGGATTCTGAAAGAATCGGGGCGTGCATTTCTTATTGTTCTGCTATTACCTGAACTTACTTCTAGCAGTCAATTCCTGCTCGGTTACTAAGGACGGGTCTCAGAATAGAACTTCCCCTCTTGGAGGCAAATTAGAAAGGGGGGAAGGCAAAAGAGAGAGAGAGATGAGGAGGAGAGAGAGGAGAGGGAATGAATGTCCCACAGGTGGCCAGCCAATTCATTTCCCCTTTCTTGACCCGCTCGTGCTGGAGTCAGGCTAGTGGCCGTTCCCCAGACCACCTGTTTTCTCTCTGCCTAGGTGGTCTGTAGTCTATTTCAGTAACAATCCTGCTTCCATTTCTCCAGCCACAGTTGCTCATCCAAACACTCTCCACCAAGCCAACTAACCAGCCTCCTTTTTAAGCTTCCTCCCTTGGAATCTTCACACACAAAGCTGCTCTTTACCATTCCACCCTCTGCTCCAGCCCCTCCCCAAACCTAGCTGGGTTTTCTGATAAGGTGGGCCAGCATGCTTTAATGTCCCCATTGTACACCTGGAGGACCCCAGTCTAGCCCCACACCCAGGTACATATTATGTCTCTAAGAAATGTTCCTATTATCGAAATTCTCAGTTTAAAAGAACTTGGCCTCCATAGTCAATGTGAACCCAGGGAGATGAGGGATAGGGAGGGTTATGTTTCCTGAGCATTTGACTGGATGCACTTAGATTTACAGAGGATCTGCCTTGTAAAAAATCTCTGATGCTAAAATAACAATTTGCCATCAAAAGCATATTATTTTAGAATTCTAAAAAGTAACCTAAGGATACCCACGAAGACCCAGAAAATACTGTTTACTTCTAATGTCTATTAATTATGTAAATACACAAGAAAATGCTATTTTCTAAAAATGTAATATGCCAGATCTAGACCAAAAATACATACACACACACCCCCCTACCCCCCCCCCCCCCCACACACATGCCCCAGCACAAATAAGTCAATAATGACAGAATTATGAAACTGTGCCTCACCACAATCAGACCAAGCCTGATGTTCAAAGTCCTGTTATAGACAAGATACAACTCTAAGAATCCCGGGACTCCAATCAAGAGGAGGAGGGACCTGGATGGGCAGGGCCCAGGCCCAGCACAAGAGTCACACAAACACCACAATGCCAGGTGTTACCTCACACCAGACTACAGGATGCTTAATGCTGTAAACTAAATGACTTTTGTTAACCACCGAGGCAGATCCTTGCCGCAGAAACACCTCACAGGCAACTCCCCCTAAGCATGAGACCAGTTCAGTATTTCAGTAACTGCACCTCTTTAAATGGAGCTTAAGAAACTGCTTTACATTACATCTAGCTTGGAAGTAAAAACTTTTAGTAAAGTTAATTATTGCCCAAAACTGATCACAAATTATTTCAGCAAGACCACATATGCAACAAATGAACTGAGCTGTTTACATTCCCATAAAATAAATCAGCTCAAATTTTAATTTTCTTTCATCTTCTTGGGGTTTTTTGCTATAAAATTTGCATACCATCTGGTCCTTGAGATTTTACTCCAGAATATCACACAAAACTAAAATACATATTTACCTGTAAGATTTGATGTCAATTATGCCAACTAATTTTATAAACTATAATACCTCAGATGATTTTTTAAATGAAATAAATTCTTTTGAAGAGAGCACTTTTGAAATGCTTATCACTAGAAAATAGTCTTACCTAAATCAGACTTATATGTCAAGCTGAAGAACAGACTTTGGGGGCTGAGAAGGAAAAGTCCTAAAGGCAACTCTTTTACTAAAGAAAAACCAATTCACTTGAGAGAGCACTTACTAACAAAGTAAGTACATTTAATTCGACAAGTCTGTGCCAGCTCTGTGCAAGGCCCAAGGCCCAATGGGAAAAGCCCCCATTCTCCAGGAGCATAAATGTAACTGGGCAAAGGGAGAACTTGTAGTCACTCAGATAAGGAGAGAGAAGATACAAGGAGAAGGTGGAGATGAGTACCAGCTAAGGAGGAGGGCCAGGACAGTCCTACGAGGAGGCAGCACCGACCTCGCCAGCAGATAAGACTCAGCTGAGGCCCAGGTGAGACGACGGTGCTTTCTAGGCCTGGGGGGGCAGGTCTGCCAGGCTGAAGGCAGAAGAGAGCGTGGCAGCCAGCGTGCTTGGAGCCCAGACAGGTGATAAAGTCAAAGAATGTCAAAGAAGCTGGAGAGGGCTGCCAGAGCCAGGCTGGGAAGGACCTCCAATGCCAAGCTAGGAAGGGCCTCCAATGCCAAGCCAAGGCCTGTTTTATCCTAAAGGCAAGGGAAGAGGCCACCAAAAGTTCATCGCTGGGGAAAGGACGCGATCAGATATTTAGGAAGACTGCTCCCAGAACTGAGTGGGGAATGAATTAAAGAAAGGAGAGGCTAATATCAGAGGAAATCAATTAGGAGGCTACTGGAATAGTCCAGACAAGAAGCAGTGATGGCCTCTGGGAGAGACTAGAAAAAGGGCTCATGGGCCCAAGTCATTTCAAGACTAACCAATATTCAGGGCAGCAAGGTGGCTCAGTGGATACAGCACTGGCCCTGGAGTCAGGAGGACCGAGTTCCAATCTGGTCTCAGACACGTAATACTTTCTAGCTGTGTGACTCTATCGTCAATTTGGTGAATAAAGTATTTTGTCTACAACTGACTGAAATAAATCAAATCTATCCCCCCCAACACACACACACACACACACACACACACACACACACACAGTGTTTATTTAAAATGGTCTAATTATAAGTTTGTGATTCAAGGTAAATAGTGCATCTTTTTTCAAAGTTTTTTTTAAACACGGACATTTATCTGCCTAATCACTATCATCTGAAGAAAAACATTTGAAAAAGATGGAAAATAAGATGAATGGATTTAGTTAAAAATGGATTTGAGTTTTATACGCTTAAATGACAAAATACTCCACAGTGTGGCGGTGTTGCTGTAAGGAGGTACACGCACCCCAAGGAAGACAAGGCCGAAAGACAGGTCCCACATACACCAAAGCTCCATCGCAACACTTCTGGTGGCAGCAATGAAATGAAGAGACTAGAAATGTCCAATGATTGGGGAATGGTGGAACAACAGAAGTATTAATTGTACCTCAGGAAAAGATGAATAGGAACAGTTCATAACTGAGGCAGCTGAGTGGGTAAAGACAGTGGCGGACTTCAACTCAGAAAGACCTGGGTTCAAATCCAGCCTCAGACATTTACTTAACTGTGTGCTCCCGGACAAGTCTGGAAGGTAATGGCTCTTAGCCTCAGTTTCCACATCCTGCAAAATGAAGATAAGAGCACCTCCTTCCCAGGTATGTTGTGAGGATCAAAGGAGATAATGCAGATCAAGCGCTGTGCAAATCCTGGTGAGCTAAAGAAATGCAAACTCTAAATACTGAGAAGCATGATGACTTAGATGAACCAGCAGGTGACCCTGGAAAGCAATCTGCACATATGAAGAAGGGAGAACCAGATCTGGCAGTTCACCAGTATAAGAAACTTCCAGTGTTGGTCACTCTCTCTACCAACACATGTATGTTA